TCTGCGGGGAGAGGGGGGCGCTGAGGCTGCTAGAGGCCGAAACGGGGCCTATGGGCGGGTATAGGCACGTATAGATGCCTATGGGCACGTATAGATTCATACACGTGAATATGGGTGTAGGCACATATAGGCATGTACACGCACGCGTATACGTACAGACAGCCCTTGGGTGCGTACACACGCGCATGCACCCCTACAGACACGCAAACATATACATACACGTATACATACCCCCCCCAAGGGCGTTGAATATAGGGGCATGCACAAATATATGTACACGCATGTATATATGCACGTACATACACACGCACGCACACACATATGCACATATACACCTGTACACGGGTATACACACATGTACACACACATATATACGTACGTATATACACACGTATCTATGCACACACATACACACACGTAGATGTCCATATGTATATACATCTGTATACACGCATATACGTACCCGTGCACACATACAGATATATACAGACCTGTACACATGTATACACACACGTATGCATACACACACGTATGCATACACACACGTATGCATACACACACGTATGCATACACACACGTATGCATACACACACGTATGCACATATATACACACCCATATGCATGTATACGCACACCTTTATGCACACACACGTGCACGTATACTCACATATATACTCACCTATATGCATGTATACACCTATATTCACACCCATACACACGTATACACACGTGTATGCACACACACACGTATACACACGCACACAGCCATACACCTGTATACACACACATATATGCACACACACACATGCATATACACATATATACTCACCTATACACATGTATACATCTATATTCACACCCGTACACACATATACACACACATAGATGCGCACACACACGTATACACACCCATACACCCCCGTACGCACACATATATGCACATATATATACACACACGCACACATGTATGCGCACACACACATGCATATACACATATATACTCACCTATACATGTGTATACATCTCTATTCACACCCATACACACATATACACATATATGTGCACACACACATATACACATGCACACAGCCATACACCCCCATACACACACATATATGCACATATATATACACACACGCACACA